GCCATCTAATTCTGTAAGGAATCTTTTACCTCTTCAATGGCACCTTGCTGCCGGCATTCTCATGCTGCCTCCTCTTGCATCAGTGCCATTTCCTTCTTCAGGGAATCCACAGAAGTCTGCAGCTTGCATTCTTGTGCCACCATTTCTTGGGTCTTTTTCAGGAGCAGGTCCTTCTCTTCTGTAGACTTTTTTAATACTGTGAGAGGCAGCCAACCCACAGTCCCCGCTGCCTCACAGGCACTCTGTCTCTCAAAAGACCTACTTACTATACCAAGGGCCATCCCTACTGCCTCGGCTTGCCTCCAGTCCTGGGGTGGGGCCCAGCCCTCTAGGAGGCAAGCCACCTCAGACACACATACCCATTGGGGGACAATCCACTATCTCCCCATTCACAGGGTCAGCCCCCTGAAGCACCCCTCCCATAAGGGCAGCCTTTTTCCTTGGTCAACAAATAACTCTGTGGACTTCACCAATTGTCTTGCCAATGGGTTTCAGTTCGCTGAAACCTAACAATAAGGTTTGTTCGCTATGGATTCAATGTGACGGAAGAAATTGACAGCAAAACGTTCTTTGGGGTGAAAGGGTTTATTTTCCAGCTTGTTTTCCCTGTGGTAGGTTGAGCACTACCATCTCTGCCTCCGCCCAGAGCATTGGGCCAGCTCTCTATATAGTGCAATAAAAGCTTATTGCTTAAAGGTGTGGAAGCAGTAGCCTAGCAACAGTCCAGTTACACCAGCAGGTGGTTGAAGTTCAGTGAGGATCCTGGCCACAGGAACCCCAACTTCCCCACCCCACCCCACCTACCCTTATCTCCTGAATCCAAATCCCTATCAGTGTGGTTTAAAACTTCCCCAGGTAAATCGAATATGCAGCCAGGATGGAGAACCTCTCATTTTAGCATTCTGGCAGGCACTGTGTGCCATGAGGGTGGGGTGCCGGGTTGTTCTGCAGTCACAGGCCCAGCACCTAGCCCTACACCAGGCCTCTATTAGGCACTGATGAAACATTTGCTTAATGGAGGAATTCAACCCACCCTTGGCTCCCGGGCCTCTGCATTGCTTCACCAGTCCCACCTACCAGCCACAGTAACCTGAAGGGCTAGGCTTTCTACAGAACCTGAGGCTTTCCTAGAGCCAGCAACCCTTCAGGGTTCCCTCAGGGAAGCTGTCCCTAATCCCCAACTGGCCTCAACCCCTTGCCCTCAGCTCCAACAGCCCCCGGGACCTTTCCTTCCATGCCACTCATTAGCCAGGAGTCAGCTCTCCCTTCCCCAGGGCAGAAGCCTCTGCTGTCTTTTCTGTAACAACCTCCAGTACCTGGCACAGGGCTGAGCACACACAGTGGTCTCAGTAGAGTAAGTTGTTTGGGTGAGTGATTTTGTGTCCTGACATTTTTGACCCATTCAGATGACTTTGCCTTGGGCCCAGGTGACTCTAAAGAGCCCTAAATTCGAGGGCTCACTTAGCTGATGAGATCCGCAGTGAAACACCTTGGCAGGAACTGTGACCTCTAGGGAGTGTAGAGACGACGTAAAATAATAGTAAGGACAGGTCAGGAGCCCTCCTCCAGGACTGGTGAGTGGGGACCGCTCCTGTGCAGAGGGCACCGCCTGCACACACAGCAATGCCTGCTCCCACCTCTCTCCAGAATAGTAAGCTGACTTAATTTGTCCCCCAAATAGACATGTTGACATTCTAAGCCTGCATTCCTGCAGTCCTATTTGGAAATAGAGTGTTTGCAGGTAGAGTCATGGAGAGGTCATAATGGATGAGGATGGGTATGATATATGAACCATAAGAAATACATATTTGTTCATTCACATGACCAAATACATATATTTCCCAGGTATATTTGTTCTTCATCCACAGTTCCTGAGAACACTGCAGAGTCTTAAAGGTGAAGTGGGTGTTTTGTCATGTTAATAGAAGACTTTTGGGCCCCCACCCAAGGGTGGGGGGCTGGAGGCTGAATCAGCCAATGGCCAATACTTTAGTCAGTCATGACTATGCAATGAAGCCTTCACAAAACCCGAGGAGAGCTTACCTCTGCCTGCTCTCTCTGCACTGTGCTCTACGTTCTCTGTACAGTTGGATCCTGCTCCTCAGTCAGGGAGAGCTTCTGTGCTTGGGGAACCAGGATGCCTCCACATGCCACCGGGCCAGGCCCCAAGCTCCACAGGGACAGAAGCTCCTTTAGTTGGGACCTTGCCCTGTGTCTCTCTTCATCTGACTGTTAACCTGTATCCTTTATGTATCTTTTATTAAAACTGGTAAACCGTACAGTTCTCCTTAGTTCTGTGAGCCACTCCAGAAAATTAATCAAACCTAAGGGGGAGGTCATGGGAACCCCCACTCTGTAGCCAGTAGGCCAGAAGCACAGGGAACTGCCTGGGGCTTATGACTGGAGTCTGGAGTTGGGGCTGGAGGGCAGTCTTGTAGGACAGAGCCCTTACCTGGGAATTTGGTGCTGTCTCTGGGCAGATAGCATCAGAACTGAGTTGAGTTCTCTTAACACCTTGCTGTTTGAGAATTGCTTGGTTAAATATGTGTGGGAAGCCCCCCTCCCACATATTTACACACATTGGAATTGGGTCTGGGTACCCGAATGAAGTAATAGTATTACTGCTGTGTATAATAATATTGTTACTGTTACACATATGTCTTGAAAATGGGTTTTAGCCCTGGGCAAGTTCACTATGGATTCAGTGAGACCAAAGAATGACAATGGAATGTTCTTTGGGTGAAAGGGTTAAACCCAACTTTATTCCCACAGCGGCAGGTCAATCACTAACTAGAATCCCGTCCACTCAAGAGCGTGTCTGCATGCAGCAAGCCGGTCTCCGCCTCTGGGCCTCTCTGCCCGCCAGCCGTCTCAGTCTCTGTCCTCAGCACTGTCACCACTCCAGTCTCGTCTCTGCTCTCCTGCAGCCTTGCAGTCATGCCACCGAGTCACCCAGAACACTGGGTGGAGCTCTTTATATAGAGCCAATAACAATGTATTGCCCACACGTGTGTAGTGAACTAGCTGACCAGGGCCAGGTGAGAATCCTGGCCATGGGAACCTTCACTTTATCCACAACATACACGTAGGGAAGAAATACACCGTTACATTCGGTGTCAGAGGTATGACAGTGGGCCCTGGTCCAATGTCTGGTACCCTTACAAGAACAAAATTTGGACACAGAGGGAAGACTTCCATGTGAAGATGAAGGCAAAGACATGCAGCTGTAGGCCAAACACCACCAGGACTGCTGGCAAAGACAGAAGCTGGGAGAGAAGCCCGGGGCAGACCTCGGAGCCTCCGTTAGGAGCCAACCTTGCTGACACCTAGGATTTGGACTGCTGGTCTCCAGAACTGTGAGAGAATAAATTTCTGTTTTAAGCCACCCAGACTGTGGTACTTTTTAATGCTGCCCCCTCCCCCCAAAAAACTAATACAATAGAGGAGACACACTGATAAGGTCTCTTTTTAGGGAAGATGAGTCTTGCCTCCCAAATCTAGATTCTGATTCTGCAAGCACCTTCCACACCCCGATCTGCTGCCTTGGCAACTGTGGCTTGGTCACTCTTCATTATAATTCCTGGGGTAGAAACTGTTACTTGCCTTGCTTTACAGATGAGGCAACTGAAACTCAAGAGATGTGAGTAGCTTGCTTGGTTACCCAGCTGGGCAGTCATGGAGTTGGGGTACAAAACCCCAGCCTCTGGTTTTAAGTCCAGGAATCTTTCTGTAAACAGAGTCAGTGCTTGGAACATGCCTGATGGCTTGATTATTGTGAAACATCAGCAAGTCTGAAGTTTATTACTGGAGTTCTTTAGCAATACCTCTGTCTCCCCACTCCAGTTCCCAGCCCATCATTGCTGTCTCCTTCACTTCCTGGACTATGCACTGAGTTCACCTCCATATCTAGTCATTTGGTTGTTCAGGGCTCCAGATTTCTTCATACTCCCCAGGCAGGGTGCAAGGGGGCTACAGTTCCTGGAAAGGCAGGAGTCACTTCTGGGTGGCTGGGGTGGAGAAGGCAGGACCAGTCTCAAAGTAGTGGCAAACTAGAGGGAACCTGTTTCTGAAATGGGTGCAAACCAAGCGCTCGGGAATTGGAGACACCTGAATGGCAGCAGAGGAGCCCTGCAAAGTGTTGGGAATAGGTTTGCCAAATAAAAGGCCAGACAACTTTGAACAAGTTAAGTTCAGATATGCAATGAATGAATTTTTAGAATTGCATGGGACATATTTAAACTAAAAAATTATCTGAAATTCAAATGTAATGGGATATCCTGTATTTTTTTGACAACCATCTAGGAGGATGGAGGGAATCAAGGTCCAGACTTCATGTAACTCCCAGGGCTGGAAGATGCCTTCCCTGTGAGCCCAGGAGTCTGAGTAAATTCAGTGAGTGGGGCATCATCCGCCTGCCCTGGCAGACCCGTGGCACATGGGCCTGAGTGGGGAGATGGATGGGCCTGGTCCTGCCTGTCCTGAGGGTCTGAGCCAACAGGGGGGAATACCCATCTCCAGATGCTGGGCCTGGGTGACCTGTGAACCGCTTCAACACCTGAAATCCCGTAATAGGAGGAAGGCACAGACAAGAATGCAGAAATCTGGAGGCCTGAGCTACCCAACTTGGAGCCACCTTGATGTTCTAGTGCTCGGCAGGACCAGTGCTGGCAGGTGGGTCTGGAACCAGGCTTGAGTAGCTGACCTGGAGGAAGATGGCACTGGGACTCCATGAGTGGCCAGAACAAGCACAGACCCTGGAGAAGCCCTTGCTGAGAAAGGGAACATGGTTGTGGCAAGGAAAGGTTTTGCCCATCAGCCCCCCGGGGCTGGAATGGTGGTGTCCCAGGGCTTCACGTCTCTCCACGGGACCCTGCTGCCCCCTGCCCCTGGAGGAAAGCAGCAGCTGCCCCCGTGTGCCAGTGGGGCCTGCGTTCCTGAGGGAGGCCGGAACAAGGCCTCACCTCTTCCACCCTCCCCAGCCACAGAAATGCACCATCACATCAGGCAAGAAGAGCAAACTGTTTATTTACACCTTGGTCTGTACATTAGAGTTCCCGAAAGAGCCTGCTCCTGAGAGCCTGCCACTTTTGGCCAGGAGGAGGCTGGAGGCAGAGCTCGGGACCCTGGCACACAACCTTGGGGCCTCACCCCACTCTCCCCACCCTGGGCCTGTGATAAAGGTCACCCCAGCCCCAAAGCTAAGCCTGCTTACAGATGGGGCACCGGGCTCCTGAGGCAAAGACTCGCATGGAATCCCACGGAGAGTCAAAGCAATGGAACAAAGCCTTGGGCATGAGGCCACATGTGCAGCCTCTTCCACCTGCGCCCCAGGTGGCCCAGTCATGAAAGGGCTGGGACGAGGGGAGCCAGTCGGCTGTGAGAGAGTCCTCAGCAATGCACGGTTTGATGGCTGTCCTGACATCAGTTGGGCATTTAATGGCACCCGGGTCTGAGCACCTTCAGCAGATGAGGAAGACTCGGCAGGTGTGAGTGGCGGGCAGGGGCAGCTGCAAGAAGCCTCTTCCTTCTGCCCACTTGGGGTCCGAAGCTGTTCTGGACATCAGGTGGCGATGGCCCTGAACCCAGACCCAATGTCAAGTACTGGGAGCCACACAGATGGAGCTTCCTCCGGAGGCTGGGGGTGCATCCTCTGCGGGGCCCACAGATCTGCTGCACACCACAGCATCCCTGCTGGGGCCCACGCCCTAGGCTAGAAGGGTACACTCTGCTTTCTGTAAATATTAATGCCCATACAGGAAGGAGTTTGTAGGAGAAGCTGCTTTACACAAAGTCACTCTTTTATGCTGTGTAAGGCTTCTAAACTAGCTGCAGGTAGGCTGGATGGAGGGCTAAGTGAGTCCAAGACCCCCGGGCTTAAGACCATAATGACAAAATTCTGTACACCGTCTGCAAGACTGAGTGAACAGAGGGGAAGCAGAGCTTGACCCTTGTCGGTAAGAGTGCAGAGACCTGGCCTGGGAACAGACCTGATGTGGTACAGGCACGCGGACACAAAGTGGATACTATGTACACATGTACAGGGCTCTGGAAGGGCCAGGGTAAACAAAAATGTAGAAAAGGGGGCAGTCGTAACATGGGGAATCCTGTACAGTGGTGACAGAGAAAAAGGCACAAGGACAACAACCCCAAACCATGCAGACAAAACAGCCTGTGTCACACAGCAAAGCAGAGGGTCCAGGCAGGAGGCATGGTCTGGTGGGGAAAACAGCACTTAGATCCTAAAAGTGGGGCCTGGATGCCGTCCCCAGACACCCCCCTGCTGGCGGCTTGGGGCAGACATCCGCCATTACCATCACAATGGAAAGAGGAGGAGCCTATGAGCTTGGAGCACCAACCTCCGGTCATCCAGCCACGCTTCGCCAGGGTCTACGTTTTTCGAACCAAACCTGTCAGGAAAGCAGCCTAGTTTCCCAGGCAGGCAGCAGAGGGGTGGGGCCAAAGGGCCTGAACGGCCCTGCCACACCCAGCCCCACCCGTTCGCTGCCCTCTCCTGGCGCTCGGAGCAGGGCGCATGGGCCTGGAGGTCCCCAAGGTGAGTGGAGGGAAGGGAGGTGCTGGAAGCCAGCTGGGAGAGGGTGGCCCCTTCTAGCCTGCCCCTCCGCAGGCACGCCTGTCTCACGGCCTGAGGCACTGCCCTAGAGAGGCGGCCCAGTCCCAGAGGGGGGAAAGGCTGGGAAGGGCGCCAGCACTGAAGCCCTGAATGGCCCCTCCTCAATTTAAAACCCACCCTAGCCCTCTGAGAATCACTGCAGATCTGCCAGGTGAGCAAAGTCATTACTTGGCATGGTGGCCATCCAAAAACTTCTGATGTTCCAATGACATCTGAAGTTAGCTTTTAGGTTTAAATTTGCTAGTATGTTAAACACACATACAGAGCCCCAAAAGGGTTGAATTTCTCCCTGATTCACCAGGCCCCACTGGCCCCTGTAGGCCTTTGCTGGTTATTAAGTCCCTCATGGGAACAGAAGAGGCCACACCGTCCTCCTGCCCACCAGGACCTGGCCGGCCCAGGAGCTCCCAGCAAGTGTGGGCTGGGACGCTGGCTTGGCCACTGATGGGAGGAGCTGTGTGCTGCGTGACCCTCCACCACCCAGCCTCACCACGTACCAGAGGCAAAAAACCCCACCAAGCCAGTGTCCCCTCCTGCTCGGCGGCTGGGAGGTTACTGCTGTTTCTGAGGCTGCTTTTGGGGGGGACAGCCCAGCTTGTCAGCCCCACCCCCGTCCATATTCTGTTCTACTCCCACTCCAGAACGAGGGGATACATCCCAACACGGGCCACCTACTGACTCCATGGGCACCAAGCAAAGACCTGCCCCTCAGGGCTGCCAACCTCAGGCCGGTGATGGCAGCTGGATCCACCAGCTCCCAAAGGCAACTGGCCCCCTGTCCTGGGGCCACAGGATCTGCTAACTTCTCACCATCCACCGTCAGAACAGGAGAAGCCTCCGACTCCTTGTTACCCAGCCCCTGGATTAACAAACCCAGCAGCCGTTTCCGCCTGTTTTCTCCACCTCTGGCCAGCAACCTTCTCCACCTCAGGCTGAACACTAGTATCACCTGGGGAGCTCTGAAACATCTAGATGCCTGAGTTACACTAATTAAAGCTGAATCTCTGGGGGGTCAGCCCTGTCAGAACATTTTTAAAAATCTCCCCAGGTGATTTTCCAAAGCTCAGCACCACTGTTTCAGGTCCCAATGCTTCCGGACGTTCTTGAGCTTTGTGTTTTTAACAGGTCAGAAACAAGGTAAAGCTATTTTCCTCTTGACAGTTCTCAAAGAATCTTCACCTTTAAAATAACTTGTCTAGCTCTGGCCAATTCAAAAGTAAAAAAAAAAAAATTTTTTTTTTACTAAGAAACTTTCCCATACCTGTCAACAGAACAAGACCAAGCTAAACTAGAAGGTGCTTCGTTTTCTACTAGATACTGTATATATATTTTTAAAAAATCCCTTGCTGGTTCAGACAATTCCTTTTGCTTTCCAGCTGAACATGACGATAGCCAAGTCTCATGCAAAATGTGAGTCTGAAACCTCTTCCCCAAGCCCTCGAAACTCCTCAAAACTCCAAATTACTGTTAAGCCCTCCTTGGTAGGGTTGACAGACTTAGCAAAGAAAAAAAAAAGCCCCACACAGGATACCCAGTGAAATCACAGTCACCTGGGAAGTTCTTGCACCATCCCCGAGCCTGGCTGCACGCCACACCAGTGAAATCAGAACCTCTGGGATGGCGGCCCAGTTACCAGAATTTAAAAAATTTCTCCATTTTAAACATGTCCCAAGGATTGCATGGAACAACTTCTAAGAATTACTTGTTTACCTGGAATTCAAATTGAACAGGGCGCCCTATATGCTATCTACAGCCCCACTACTGAGAGAAAGGGGGCAGAATGCAACCCGAAAACAGACGGAGGCGGTGGAAAACACAGGAAGCGAACAGGGCAGCTCCCCGTGCCTAGATCCCAGGGGAACTGGAACCTGCCCTGGTGTTGTGGGGCTGGGGCCCCTGGGGCATGTGCCCCCTCAGGCTAGCTTTCAAGCAACAGAAGAGCATTTGAAAAAGCTCCATGATCTTAAAAAGCCAATTTGACAAGAATAGGTTTTATAAGATGTATTTTCTGGGTGGAGAAAGGTTGGATTTAACTTGAAGCATGTGTTATAGGGACAGGCTCATCCCGGAGACCCCACACACTGCACCAGGTCCTCCGGGGTCTTTCGTCCTGGGTGCTGCCTTGGAATGTCCGTTCCATGGCCAGGAACCCTGATCTGGCCGGCCTCTGTGCAAGGCCTTCCGATGTAAAACCCAGTCCAAAGCCATGTCATGACTGGCCAACTTCCTTCCCTTTGTGTCCATTCCTCTGTACCAGCAAACTCCCAAGGGCCCCACTCCTCAGGCCTTCTTTCCACTGCTGTGCCTTCTCAGACCCTCAGGGGGGCCCACAGAGACCGGTGTCCTAAGGGACCGGCAGTGACCTTCTGCCCTAGTCTTCCTGGTGTGGGTGGCCTCATAGCTCCAGATCAGAGCAAGTGCAGCCCCACACAAATCCTGCAATTATGCTTAAAAAGAAATCATGAAACCCAGCAAAAGCGAAAGTTGCCTGGAACAGAATGAAGATTGGTTCTGGCCACAGCCCTGCCTCTGCGAGCAGGGAACACACCCAGGTCCAGATCCCCTCTCCACCTCCACTGCGCTCTCTTCTCTGCCTACACCCCTCCAAGCCTATCCCCAGCATGCCCCAACTTTCCTTTTCACACTAGATGTGCTGAAGAAAACTGCAGGGGAGAAGATCACATGTGCTTATATATATTTATAAAGAAACAAGTCACATGCCACATGAAATTAAGACAAACTGGAAAATTCAAAGAAAGTGCCATATCTATTCCCAGCTGCCTAGAACAAAAGATCACATTAAAAATGCAGAGTGTCAATTTCTACCATGAGCCACAAGGATGGAGGACTAAGGTTTCCTACAACTTTCTCAGCTGTGTCCCCCTCCGGTACAGCACTTGTTCCCCAGGCAGAGAACCGATACAGGTGAGATTCTGAAAGCTGGAATGCAGGCGCCTCACCACCCAGCTGAGCTGAGCCGAGCCCAGCCCAACCCAGAACTCCAATTCTGAAAATCCAGACCCAAGGTCTGCCATCGCCAGACTGCGGAGAGCAGGGACTCGTAAGCAAGGTACCCTCCCAGCCTGGGAAGCCAAGGAGATGATCCATCGGTGCTTCTCTCTTAAAATGCAGACACGCAGCAGAAAAGCCAACAGCGTGCTCCTCCCCAACAGTCAGGTCTTTCGTTCCCCAGTGCCAACACGTGCCTTAGGCACCCCTGTCCCCCAGCCTCCTTCTCCTTCCTTTTAATCCCTTCATTTTATACCTCAAGTGGATGCTGCTTATTTTTCACTGTCTTAAGAACAAAACAAAATCAGAAAAGGAGAGGTAGGTAAGCAGGGATGGGGAAATGTACGGACAACTCCAGAAATACCAAGAACTCTCAGAATGAAGGTTGTTCAGTGCCGGGTCCTCTGCAGCCAAGGACCTTTGGACACACTGTGCATGAGCATTAGAGGGCACTGCCAGCCAGTGAGGGGGTTCCCTGGGGACTGGCCTCACATTCCCCCCACCCAGATGCCCCTTCCTCCTCTCTGAGCTCATGCACCTGGACTGGAAGGGGGCCAAAGAGGTTGGTGAGGACACAGCTGTTGGGCACTCAAACTCCTGGAAAAAGCATCATTTTGCTCCCATTCCTAGGGGGTTCAGAGGCCTGTCTTACTACGGTACCTCTAGGTTCTTATCCCCAGAGGTAGAATCATTGTCTCCAGTATCTGAAACACAAGCTTCCAGTTATTATTACAGTAACTCCTGATAGCAGACCTTGCCCCCTACCATCTATAGCACCCTCTGCCCCTTGCAAAGGGACAACAATATGCATGGATAGCTAACTGCAGATACCACTCATGGCCATGATCCCATGCTCACACCTCGCTGTGTGCACGGCTGCCCACATACACATCAGCACACATTAAATGGTGGCTAAAAATACATTTACAGTGTGCGTGTGAGGCCCAGCCCAGGGTGCATCCTCAGGCGGGATCTGCCCCTTGGTCCTGGGGTTGGGGGTTCCTGAGGCTGCTCTGCAGCCAGCCCCCTTGTCTTAGTGTTTGATCTCGAGGATGGAGGGGTTGTGGTCCAGGATGGCGAGGATAATCTTGTCCATGTACTGCCTCAGCCGGAAGTTGATCTCCTCCTGCTCCTTTAGGGCTTCCATGAGCTGAAAGGAATGCAAGACACATCAGGGACAGGGACAGGCTTGGGGTGTGACTAGAGCCCAGAATCCCGGGCTTGCAGTAAGCCAGTGCCTGATGACAGAGGGGCTCAGGAGGCCCTGGACAAGGTGGGCCCAAGATCAACCTTAGCATTCAGATGCCAGGAGTATGAACTGTGCAGATGCCCAGGACCCATCCCCAAAGATTCTGATTGGTGTGTGGAGGACCCAGGTGTGGGTAATCTTTTAGTAAAGGCTGAGAGTACTGGCCAGAGGCATTTACAATCAAGACTATCATCCCAAATCCTAGGGCCTTAAGACTGATAGGGCTGCCAGCTGTTTCCTCTGCCTGCAATGGCCCCCTCACCACCCCTTGCTCTGCCCCTGCCCCCTCAAGGTCACCTCCTGATGGATCCTTTGGGATGTCACTGAAGTGCTGCCTCTGCCCAGGCTGGAGGCGGTGCCGAGCTCACCAGGCAGCCCCTGGAGGCCAGAGGTCAGCTTTTAGTTCTGGGTCCAAGGGCAGGGTAAGGGGTTCAGTGACTCTGTCTTATGATTTGTGTTAAAATATAACCAGGGTGTTTTGGAGGCCTGATCTTTTAAAACCACAGCCTAGTGGGATAGAAAGAGTGGGCTTTGGTGCTAGAGATCCGATCTCTCTCCCTCCACAAGTTGGGTGATCTTTGTCCTGGTCTCCCAATCTGTAACATGGAAGTGTCCAGAAAGCCTGAGTTATCAGAATATTGAATGCAGACATACTGCCAGCAGGTGCTCAAGAAATGCTAGTGTCCTTTGCCTTTTGGCTTAGGGGAGGAGAATTACAGTCTCCCCTGGACCACACGTGATGAAACCCACTGGCCGTTCGGGATGTTTCTGGCTGAGCTAAGACACAAACCCCACTCTGCTCCCAAACCCCTGCTTCTCCCTGGCCAAGAGCAGGAACTCAGAGCTGATATAATTACACCTGCAGCCACTTTCCATCACAGCTCTGCCCTGTCATTCAGGGTAGCTGCAGATGGGGACTTTCAGAGCCCAGGCTGATCTGCTTTTCCCGCTCTGAACAGCCTGGGGCTCATCCTAGCAGCAGGTGAGGACAGGCCCCAAGGCGAGAGAGAGTGGGCGGTACCTCATCGCGGGAGGCTGTGTCTATTTCCGCAGCCAGAGACTGGGCTTTGGTCTGGGTGGCAAAGAGGTTCTTTGCTTCATAAAGGCTGAGGCTCAAGATCTGTCCATTTAAGTCATCATTCTGATCTCGCAGCTTATGATTCTCCTGTGGAGTAGGACAAAGGCCACATCAACAACCAGAAGCATCCAGAACTCTCTGGAATCCACGTGTCAGCATCCACTGGCTCCTGACTCCCACTGGTACCCTCCCCCTTAGGCATGTCACGGCCAGTTCATAAACGTATAGATGATATGGCCTCTGCTAGGCTTGGTGGGAAAAAGGGCTGGGTGCCAGGAGGTCATAGGGGGGCTGAGGAGTTACAGCTCTGCTCAGGGTAGCCTGTATCCAGCCAGGAACACAGGGTCCTGGCCACCCCTTCCTCCCTGGGGGTGGACAGGCCAAAGGAGGAGGAGGAGACTGAAGCCCTGGGTGGGGACACTGTCCACCCAGTGGTTCCTCCAATGCTGAACCGTGGTGGGTAAAATCATGCTCTTGGCTGATCTTGGCTCCTCCTGAAGATGGGCTCGGACTCCTGCGCATGGGAGTTCTCTCCAGGGGCCTGCTAACGTCTGAGTACAGCCAGCCCCACAGTGCCCCGCCCCTCTTGGTGGCCGGCCTCCTGCTCTAACTTTGCAGGAAGGCCCCTAACTGCTCAGACCTGGGGCCTTGGGCGCCCCCTGGTGGATGAGAAGGGAAGGATGCAGGGCTGTTGTGGAAGGACCCCCACCACTGGGGGCCCGTGTGGAGCCAACCCAGAGGGTTCACCTTATACTGCACAGCTGCCTGCCCCCAAGGTCGGTCTGAGAGGGGACTTCACTCACCAGCACTCCCTCGCTTGGGCACTGCCCTCCCTGATCCTGCATCCCCCAGCCCCAACTGGTCTCCAACTGTGGGAGTGCTCCCAGGCACCATCTGAAATGGAACCCCAGGCTCAGGGTCTGCTTCTGGGAGAACCCAGCGCAGCCAGGAACTGATTCGTGCCTGGGTAGAGTCTCATTCCCCGCCCCATGCACGCAGGACAGAAGAGTGGTGTATACTTCTTTTTAGGGACGCCAAGGAAAGACCCTGGGGTTTCTGACATAGCCTAGAGGTAAGCCGCCTGCCAGAGCTGTGAGATGGGGATGAGCAGCTCTGACAGCTGGGGTCGAGAGGACAGCCAGAATGTGGGAAGATGTCATGCTAGCGTACTGCCCCTCACAGAGGCCCACCCGGTGGGGACAGAGGCTCTCAGGGCCCACCTGCTTGAGCCGCTTGATCTCGTGCTCCAGCTCCACCTCGCGGGCCCTGGCACTGAACTCGCCCAGGCCAGAGGATGAGCTGCGGCCCCTGCCAGGCCGCTCGCAGTCCAGCTTGTACATCTGCAGGTGTTCTAGCTCCTTCCGCAAGTCCTCGATGAGCTGCACAGGGGAGAGGCTGGTTGGCGGGAGCAAGGGCACGGGAGAGAACCCTGCAGCCCTCCGGCCTGGGACCCACCTCCTGCGTGGCCTCCCGCTCCTTCTGGAACTCAAGGCGGTTCTGCCGCAGCTTGTCCATCATGCGCTTGTACAGGTCCATCTCATCCTTGAGCCGCAGGCTGGTGTCCTCCAGCCGGTCGGACATGCGCTGCCGCTCCTGCAGCCGGGAGACCGGGTCAGGGCAAGAGAGTGCCCACAGGGGCTCACCATGCCCCAGGGGCATCCCTGGAGATCTGGGTCAGCCACCTCAACAAGTGGGCAATCACACCAGCCCCCTGAGTAATGGCTTAAAGACACAGCCAGATCCCTTAAGAGTCTAGAAACTCAGCTAAAAACCCTCAGCCCCCCAAGCCCTTCAGCAACACCAGAAGGAACATGATAGAAGATAGCAGCCCAAATACAAGCTAATTTTTTTCTCTTTTTTATTATTTTCCTGGTTATATAAGAAAATATATTCAGTGTAGAAAATTGGAAAGCCAGGAATATAGAAAGACAAATTATTATTCACATTTTGTTTGTTTGGTTTTTTTTGCTAGGGCAATTTTATTAACATTTCAGGAATTGGAAACGAAAGGCCTTCAATGGCCAACACTGCCTCTCTGTGGATTCAAAATCTCAGTCTGAGAGCTTCCTGGACCTGCTGCTCACCTCATCCAATTTCTCTGTTTGAGACTTGAGCCGAGTCACTGTTGTTCTGAGCTCTGTATTTTCTTCCTCTAATTGTTGTACTCTGGGGAAAAGAGGAGGACAAAAATGTCAGAAATGGAGATTACTTACAATAGGTTGAAAATTTGCAGTGATTCTCTGCTCCCTGCAGGAGGGAAGATACCAGAAAGCACAGAGGAGAGAGAATATGAATATTTGTTTCAGATGATAATATAGTCTTGAGCTTCCTGTCATTCAAGGCAAAATGGTAAAGACAGTTGAATTACCTTTTTTTTTTCCATAAAAGGAAACACTGATTTGTGAATAAGAACATAAGATTCTTTCTGCATGCATCCTCAGATCCTGAAACAGCATGGGGGGATGTTTTCCTGCTAAAGGAGAGTGTCTTCCTGTGGCTGTCGGGGCGGCGTGTGGTAGGGCCCTTTGGTTAACCGCGGCTGGAGGCAATGGCCATCCTCGCTGCTCATCCTCCCCAGCACACCGCCCGGGCTCTTCCCTCTGAGCACTCGCTGCAGCCACCTCTGATGCCCACAGGCCCTGGCTCTGACAGTCATGACCCCCACATTAGTGCCGACAAGGGACTGTCTGAACATGCCTCCATGAGGAGACAGAGACTGGGGACCCTTTTAGATGACCTGACATGAGGGGCAGGGGAGTTGTCTGCCCGAGGTACAAGGACAGGGGAGGGCTGTTTCTGGTACTGATTCCTGCATCCCCTCGCCTTCCCACTGTCACTCCCTCCTTCCTGGAGAGATGGCTTCCTGGCCTCCACTGCCCTCTGGGCTCCCCAGCAGAGTCCCCAGGGCCAGGGCCAGAAAGGAATCCAGACCCATCTCCCTCGCTCTGACAAGACCACCTCACGGGGGACTTGAGATGGTGGAGGATGAAGAACAAAGCACGCTGCGTGACTCCGCGAGCACTGTCTGCATATCCTGTGTGAACAGCACCCCCTGGAGTTGTGTGAAGGGCACAGGTTGAGACAGTTCCCAAGAGGGCTGGCTTCCTGTGCTTTGGCCTGTGGCCCACTCACAGACTGTCTTCTTCTACTACCCATGGCCCAGCCACCTCTCAGGCCAGCCAGCCCGGCCAGCTGTCAGATGCAGGCAGAGAGTAGTGACACTTAATATGTACCAGTCTCCAAAACCAGATGCAAACCGCAGATTCTGGAGCAGGAATGAAAACTTAAAAGTGAACTGCTGGTTGGGGTAAGAGTTAACAAAGTGGGTCTCAGGCACAGGGCAGTTGGGAGGTCCCCTCACCAAACCACACAGGGGCCTGGCCCAGCCAGTTCCCTTTGGGCCTGCTTGACCTCAGCAGGCAGGAAAGCACCGGCCCGCCAGGTGTGAGGTACAAGGTGGGAGTCCACCTCCCAACCTGCCCTCCATCCCAGACTGGGCCTAGCAGACTCCAGAAGGCTCAGCTCAGACACTGGGTTCAGGGAGGCTGAGGAGAGTGGAGGCAGCCACCCTCTTGGCCAGGGGCCCAGGTGGCCTCCCCAGCCCAGGTCGGGGACGAGAGCAGCCCCCATCTCTGGGCAGTGTTCTGACGTGCACCAGCTCACCTGCCCTCATGGTTGCTCTGTGAGGCAGGCAGGGAGGGATGACAGATGGGGAAACTGAGGCCCAGAAAGGGACACAGCATGTCCAAGGTCATGTGGCTACTGGGTGGCCAATCACGTCGGGGCTCTTCTCCCTGCCTGCCTCAGGTCCAACAACTATGCCCGAGGCCCCTGAGCCCAAAGGACAGCAGGGCCCCACGTTTCCATTTACCATGGCCCCTGGGGCCCAGGGTCAGGGGCAGATCTGACAGCAGGGGGAGCACCAAGCCCAGTAGTGAGACCCAGCCCAGGCATCAGGGCAAGGCCAGGGATTTTTTAACTTGTTCTCGTGGTGATACACACGTGTGTTGTTTCCAGTTTTACCTAATAAGAACAATGCTACTGTGAACATTCTTTCACGTGCTTCTTAGAGAACGTGCCCAGGTGTTCAGGTCTCCAGATAGAACTGCTGGGACATGAGGCTTTCCCGCAGGCTCAGTTCCCCATCCCTATAATGGGGATGGCGCCTGTCCCCAGCTGGACCAGGAGTGCGAGCGCCTATCGGGGGCAGAGGCCCTGGCCTCACCTGGCGCCGAGCAGCCCGATCTCCGTGCCCTTCTCCCGCTCCAGCTTGCTGTAGGCCTCGCGGTGTCGCCGCACCTCCTCCTCCAGGGCCTGCTCAGCCGCAGTCTCCTGATCCTTCACCATCTCCTCCAGCTCGTGCACCCTGAGGGCAGGGGCAAGGGCTCCGGTCCAGGGAAAACTCTCTTGGCCTGTCTTCCCCTCCCAACCCCAGCTGTGACCCCAGGAGCCCCGAGCCCCGAGACCTGGAGTCACTAACACCCTGCTGTGGGTGCTGGCAGCACGCATGCCAGGCCTGCCTTGTTGACAGATGAACCAAGGACACCGTGGCATCTCAGGAGAGGTGTGGCAGCTGTGCGCACCATGGACGGGCAGACCCGGCAGCTGGCACAGAGGGGAGCAGGCTGCCCCCAAGCAGGCAGCACCCCCAGGGCAGGCACAGAGCAGGGTGGCAGGCCTCACCATGGCCAGCCACATGCCCTCAGGACTCACTTCTCTTTCTGCTCTATTCCTTCCTGGCTGGCACCCCGCTGATCAATAGATCAGCTCCTGGACACCTTGGCTCCACAAATGGGCATGTCCTGCCGAGCGGCCCTGAGCATACCTGACCTGGGCAAGGGCCAGGCCCCACTGTGATGTCCCAACCCCACTAATGGGAGCCTGACTGGCACATCAGTCTGGGGCACATGTCACTGGCAACAGTCCCTCCATGAGGCTGACCTTCTGGGGTATACAAAAGGACTCTTTGTGCCCTACAAGGTTGAGGGCCAGACCCTGGTTAAGGGTCAATTTAACAAGTTGCATGCCACCCCCTGAAGACAGCTAAGTCTTAACACACCGCCCCACTGCGGTCGCATCCGCCGGGCCTCTGTTGGGAGGAGGGCACTGCAGCAATGCCTGGACACTCCCTCCTGGTAGTGGGTGCGACTCCCCGCTCACCCCAGCCTCTCCCTCTACAGAGCTTGTTCCAGGAAGGAAGGTCAAGCTCTCATCATCGTAGGACAGACAGGCAGGAGTGCACCCCAACTCCTGCCTGAGATCCATGCTGGGGCTACAGACCTGGTGGAGTGGGGGCAAGGTCAAGCTCCAACCAGTCTCCCCATCCCCAAAGACCTGTGCTCCTGGGTGCCCTGCACAAGAAGGGCCATGTAGGAAGGGGCCGATGTGTCACAGGCCCTCCAGGCTAGGAGGACATACAGATAGCCTCCTTGAGCTTCTCTTGGGGTCCTTAGCAACAGACACAGCCCTCCGATCCCCAGGGTCACAGCCAAGGCCCCAGAGCAACACTCTGGCCCCTGACCTGTGCACCAGCTGTGTGTTCTCCTGCTTCAGCTTGCTTTTCAGGTCCCCATTGGTCAGGCTGTCATTCTCCAGTTCTGTCACCTTTTTTTCTAGGAAGCTCACCTACAATAGGGGGCAGAGGTGGGAGTGGAGAAAACTTTTGAGTCCATAGGACTGAAAACCCAAGAACTGTGGGTCTGATGGCCAGGGCTTCCATGTGGCTGTGTATGAGGGGTCCTTCGGTGGGGGTGGTGGGGGTGTACCCATGTGATGGAGGCCACCTGCCCCCAATTCCTGGGCAGAGACAGGGTCTGCCACGTCCCCACGACCCCTGGGAGCGCCCTCTCCCGCCCACCCCAGGCACCTTCTCCGTGATGTCGTTGTCACAGGAGTCAATGCTGTCCCGGAACAGGTCCTCGGTGCTCCCGTTACTGCTGCTGAAGTTGCTGCTGTGCATGAGCTGCCTGTGGCGGAGAGGGAGGGGCATCAGGCTGCAGAGGCCCTGCAGGGACTGGGGTCCTGACTCACCTATGGGCCGGAGAGTAGCCAACCCAGGGGAGGCTGCCCCCACCCAGTCACGGAGAGGAATTGCCTGGCCTCTGAACTTAGAGATGGCCCAGCTCAGAGGATGCAGGCAGGCTGCTACACCCTCCTGAGCCCCAGGTAGACACGCCAGTCCATCTCAGCTCTCACCTGCTGCCTCAGAACCCTTCTCACACTGGTGCTCCAGCCAGCAGCCACCAAGGGACAGGTGCTGGCAGAGGAGCCCCTGCAGCTGGAAAAACCAAGCAGTGAAGGCAGACTGGTTCCACTGGAAGAGGGTCCGCGCCCCAGGAGGCCACCCAGCAAGACTCACCGCCTCCACCAAACCAACCCTGCTTCCTTTCTGGGGCCCTGGAAACAGGCAAACACTTGCCAAGGTAACTCCTGCCCAAGGTGAACCTGGCTACTGCTCCCCAGTGGCTTCCACCTACTCTGACAGGCAGAAGCCGGGGTCTCTGCCAAGGGACGGTCCCATCCCACCCCAGCTCCTGGGCTGGAGCCCCTGGGCCCTTGCTGGCAGCTTCCTGAGCCCTGGGGGGAGCCCTGACGGGAGACCTGGGGCCAGTCTGCAGGGGAGTCAGAGGGGGTCCTGGCAGTCCCACAACATTAGCTGCGCAGGGTGTAACCTGGAGCAAAGCTACTGGCTCCAACGGGGCACACTCAGGCCCCGACCTCTGCCAGTGGGAGCCCAGGGTCCACTGGTAGAGCTGCCAGCTCCAGAGTGCAGAGGGACCAGCTGTGAGCTGGCCCGTGTCTCTCAGGGCGTCCCTGGCTGCCTGCCCAAGGCTGAGGCAGGGAGGGGGCCGCTCTGCTGGCACTGCCTTAGGATGCCTGCCTGCCCTCTACTCCCTCAGCTGTACGGAGGGCACCTGCTGGGCCGGGACTGCGGGCAGGGAGCCAGCCATCCTGGCGGCAGCGGCACAGTAAGGGGGGACAGCATTCAACCTGTCCTCCCGCAGGGGACCTTACCGTCCAAAGGCCGTGCTAGAGATCTTTCGGTTGGGGCTACAAAGAGAAAGAGAGAGAGAGATTGAGAGAGAAAGAAAGAAATGGTCATTGAACAGAAGGGGCCCTAGCCTACTCCTTACTCTGCCCTGGCTTTTTCCCCACCCACTGGAAAGAATTCACTAATCAGTCTGGTCCTGAGAAAAGCACCCTGATTTTCCTGTTGCAGAAAAATGCAAGTCCCACTGCGAGAGTGCCCTCACCTGCCAAGACTCGGGCCAACTGCCTGCTGCTTCAACCTCTGGCCCCAGCCTGGCCTCCCATCCCTCAGCTGGGCCTCAGGGCCTCACCTGTTGGCCTTCAGGTTTTTCAGTCGGGCTTCCAAGCCATTCAGCAGGTTGATTTTCTTGCAGCACTGAGAGCAGTAAACATCCAGCAATTCGCTGTTGTACACATGCCGCATTTTCCTAGGCGTCTGTCCTGCGCTGGTTCATGAGAAAGAAATCACCTCCTTAACTGCCCGATCTGCGCCCTACCCCCTCCTGCCAAGCTGACCTTACTGGACCCCATACCTGTGAACCTTCTGTGTGTGTGTGTTTGCTTGGGGAGGGGGGGAACACAGCAAGAGATCTTCCCTCCCCCGATGCTCTCCAAAATAAGCCAAGGAGTTGTGCCCATTTCACACAAAGGCAACTGAGAGCTAATGCCAGAGGAAGTAATGACTCAGGTGTGTGGGAAGGCATCACAGGAGGGCCCCTAGAAGGGCCTTCAACACTGAGGTTCCAGCACGCAAGACAAGACCCGAAATCTGTGTAGCTGCCAGTTGGTGAACTTTCTCCCCCAAGATGGGAGGAAGGAGGAGGAATTCCAGACCCTCAATCAGAGTTCAAAGGCAGCAGCCCAGACCCCAGGAACACAATCCACACAGCTCAGAACTCTGCCCACTGAACCCCCCTGGGATTACTGCTGCTGCCGTTTCTCCTGGACCCCCAGTGCCACTGCAGACCAAGGGCCCACCTGGAAGACACTGAAGACCCCAGGTCTGAGTAGACATTGGTCCTGGCCTCGTCATCAGGGCAGGGGCTGCTGGGGGCACAGTCCACGTCGTCTCCCTCCCCATAGTCTTCAAACTGCTCCTCGTTGCTGATGAGCGAGGTGGTGGAGTGCGTGGAGAGGTCTGACGTTGTCATGGATGGAGTGTGGACCAGGGACCTGAGAGTGAGAGAAGGGCTGGCCGGTGATGAGACCCCACCCACAGCCCATGGTGGGGACAGAGCAGGCCTTCCGGGAGGTGGTTCTTGATGAAGTTTGCAGTGTTTGACCTGGTAAGTACACCCTTGGGACCTTATCCTAAGGGAAACATCTCCCCACAGAAACTGTTTCTGCACAAGAAATGTTCAAACCAATGCTTCTCTAGAGCAGCAAACAATGCTTACCACCTGATGGTTTACACCTAAAGCTACATTAAACTAGTTACTGAATTATAATGTAAGTTGGTAAATTAAGTTATAGACAATCAAATCATTGTTGGATGGTTTATAAAAATTATTGGCAATACTGTGGAAAAATTAATACAAATTAAAAATTAGATATGAAATTTTAGATGTAATAAGGCTGAGCATGTAAAGGGTCCATACAGAATAAGGAAAAGCAGGAAATAAAAATGTATAAATGGTAACTGGGCTTGGGTTTGGGTGGTGGGACTGTGAGAAAAGGAAGTTGTTTCCCCTCTATTTTCACTTGCCCTACTTTTTTCATGTTGTTTAATTGGCTTGTACTCTAATAATGAAGTTTTAAAATGAACAGCAATGAGCTACTAGGTGAGATGCTTCTTCCAGTTTATAGATGGGATTTCTAGTCCAAGGAAACTTAACTCCAAAGAGTGCGGGTCAGAGACCCTAGGCCTCTAGGGTGACCCACGGTGTGGCTGTGACAGTGCAAGGGGCTGCCTGAGCCCTGTTTGCCACCTAGGGATAAAGAGAAGTACAACCCCTCACCTGCTCCCAATCTCCCCTTTGTCATGCAGTAATTCCTGTTTATTATTACTCAAAGTTGAGGGTTTTCTCCATCCTACTAAACCTCCACACTCAAAAATGGGAAACCTGAAAGAGTGACGAGCCGTAACAGGTTAAGGCAGTAATTCTCTCACTGTGCCCCTGAGGAACCCCAGTCTCCTAAGAATCACAGTGGTAATGACAAGGTGCTAAAGATCAAGTCTCCCGGTACCTCTGCCCTATTATTTTTATTTACTTATTTATATCTGCCCTCAGATCCCTTAGTACCTTGGGTTGACTATCATACTCTTCAATTCTTTCTCCTATAAATTTTATGAAAACTCTTAGCACTCCATGATGGCTGCCTCTCAGGTACCTAGTTCCAGAGAACAACCAGAATCATCAAGTGGCAAACAGGTGTGCGGTCTGTGACCAGTTGTCCTTGGGCTGAGGGATCTCAAGTGCAGCTGCTGGGCCTCTCCTGCAGAGTGGCCAGGAGAAACGATGGTAACGGGCTGCACCGCGAACAGCCTGATTCTTGGTCCCCTGAGTTTGGGAACCCCACACTGAGAACGTGTATGAAGTCGAACCGTATGAAATTGCCTTTTTTTGAAGGTTGAAGATGATTAAAAATTGACAATTTTTATGGTTCAGCCGATACTGGCACCCCTTTCCTCTCTCTCCAATCCCTGGGCTGGCCACAACCATCACCTTCTCCTGATGTGCAGAGCTCCAGACAGTTTTTACTCACTTGTCCTCTGGCAGGAACAGGCCCCCGAGCCCCCCATCCTTCTCCTCAGCGGGACTCCCGACCGACCCCTCCAGACTCTGCGTGCTCTCCATGGGGCTGTCCATGTCCAGCTCCGGGGAGCCGTCCGCTGGGGCCAGTGTCATGGCTTCCTCCTCGTCCTCTGGGAAGAAGCCGGGCTCCCTGGAGAGGAGCTCGCCATCGGCAAAAGTGGGGCCCAGCACCTCGCTGCCCTGAGAAAGACAGGGAGGGACAGATGAGCGAGGCTGACTTCCCGGGACTCAGCACTCCGCATGAGACTGCAGGGGCATCAGCAGGGCCAGGGCCAGGGGGCACTGTGCGTGCAGACGCTCAGGCCCTGAGACCGCAAGGATGCCTGGCAGGTGATTCCCCCGGGAGCCGCTCAACTGGCTGCATCCTGGGAGCCCAGCGAGGAGCCGGAACGCCCAGGGCGGCCATCCATGGGGAAGGGCCACAGTGAGCCAGCCTCACTGTTTGGGGCACCAGGGCCACTCAGCAGAATTCCCATCACAGAGTCTGCAAGGAGGACAAATGACGCAGAGGAGGCTTCCTGGTGACTGAGGGAAGGGCAGAGCCACAATGAATGGTAACCAAGAGCATGACTCTGACCTAGTGGAGTTTGATGCAGCATATGGTACACGGATATCTGTGCTTGGGATCTGCCCTCCATGGTTCTGAAACCACCCCTCTGAACCTCAGTTCTCTCCTCTATAAGCTGAGAATGGCAATATAACCTTAAAGGGTCACTGTGTCACAGAAGGACCTCAATGAATAAATCCCGGCCACAGGACATGATGCCAGCCTGGGAGGGAAGATCTGTCTTGGCCTCGCCACAGACACGCTGGGGAGCAGGAACACAGGTCTTTCAATTCTGAGCTTAGAAAGCTGGTCCTCCGAGCACACTGCCCCAGCACAGTGTTGGTGCATGATAAAGATTCACCTGAACCTTTTGCTAAAACAGTCTCATAGGAGAAGAGCTCTGGCTTTATTCAGAGATTACCCTAGTCTGCGGGGCAGCTCTCTGCAAACCATTTCTTGGGTTTGCTCTGTCTCTGAGCAGGATACCTCTGAAGTGCCAACTGCTTCCACTGCTTCCATCCAAGATGTCTAGCTATTCAATTGGCTCTACTAGGGCTTGCAGAGTACCCATTAAAGGTGCTTCCTGCAGCCCCAGGACTGCAAGGTGGGCAGAGTAACAACAGCTATGAAAAGCCTCTGGGTTTCTGAGACAAGAACAGGATCAGGGACATCCTGAAGGAAGGTGGTGAGCGACACGCTTGGCTAGGACAGCCCACACGCGTGCAGCCATCCGCTGCCATTAGTGAGCGGGCAGTCCTCCTGCGGGGCTCTAGCCCCACACCAGGACATCCCTGGGCTAAGAATAGATGGCTGTTAATGAGCTTGGCTCCTGCCTGTGCACGGACATGGGCTAACACCAGATGGACCAATGAAGTTGGCATCAGGAAGCCAGGCACCCCTGGCTGGAGGCTGACGGGCTATGTAATTAAAATCACACAGCCTTTCCCACCTGTGTCACTAAATCCAATGCCACACAGCTCCCGACCTTAGCAGACCTTATGCCCTAAGCAAGCTCTTCATTTGCAAGCCATAAGCTGCATCCTAGTAGAGACAAAGGGACACCAACATTTACTGAGCAGCCACCAAGCTCCGCAGCTGGAGCCGAGAGTTAATAACTATCCTATTTGGATTTCATGACAACTCTTCAGGACAGTGGTTTTTACCCCTGTTTTACTAATGGGGAAATCAAGGCTCAGAGGGTAACATACCAGAAGGCCTCTGGCCAGTCGGCAGAGGGCTCCACATGCCTCTGGCCACCACATGCTTGGTTCCATTTAACAGAAGCAACCACGTCACAAGTTTTCAACGAGGCAAGCACACATTATAGGGACATGTTAGCAATTGTGAAGCCCAGGTACTCCCCCTAATGCTGCACCTTCCACATGCTGCTTACTTCCTACCAGCAGCAGGAGACCCTCAGGGCCTCCCCAGGAGAAACCAGGCAGATGGGAGGTCTCCGAGGACAGCGGCAGCTCTTGCAGGAGCCATGCGAGTGCTCTAATCCTTCACTGACAGCTTTCAGCCTTTCCGGCTGCAGGGCCAGGGGAATGTCAGCACGTGCTAGGAATGCCTGTTTCGTGGCTTACGTGATTACGTGGTCACTCCCAGTCTTCACAGCCCTGAGCTCCATCTCCTTTCCCTTCTCTGTAGGTGAAAACCTGCAGGGCTGCACTGGAGCTGGACTGTGAGTCACCACTGCCCACCCTCTCCCCACGGCACTGTGTCAGCAGGGGGTCTGAGGAGGCTGCTGCCCACCCTGCTCCCAGAAGGCAGGTGGGACGTCAACCAGAGGCCAACGTCCATGTTCCTCAGGGCCCAGCTTGGCCTCTGGCTAACTCATATTTGCCACACATGCTTGGTCACTGGACACCAAGATATGGAGGCTGAGTTTCTGCCAGGCACTCAAACCCAGGGTATACAAGTGGGGACCCTGGGAGACTCACCCGATGTCCCACAGCAACATCCCCAAACTCCCGGCAGCTGGCTTAAGGTCCCAACCCTGGTGGGAAGAATAGACTCAAGTAGCTTGTCTCAGCCACAGGAAAGGCAGAAGGAGTCTGACATTCCCCACCCATGGGGTCCCTCCCAATAAGACCACCACCTCCTCAGACACATTCTTACCCTCTGTCTGAGCAGAGTCCTCACCTGCCTGGCCCTTCCCAGTTGACATTGTCCTGTCTCTCACACGTACCCCCATTCATCTATCACAGCAGCCCCAGAGAGTTCTGGCAGGTGTACAGGGCAGAGATTAAGGGTTTACTGTCCCAGGCTGACATGCAGGGAAGATGAGGCTTAGAGTGGGAGGGGCTGTCCTGCTGAGACCTGAAGGCAGGCTCCTGACACACCAAGTCTGGCCCCTCGCCCACCCTCTGGCTATACACACCTGTGTAAGTGTGTACACACACACATACTCTCTCAGCATGCCAGCCTTTTCTCTTAAAGTTAGCTGTTTCCTACAGTAACACCTTTTCATCCAACCTATAACTGTTTGCCCAAGGCAAGTGGAAATTTTATTATAACTTCAAAACCATTTCTAGTAGTTTACCCCTAAATTTGAATAACATAAAGACAGCTATAAGAAAAGTTACTGCACACCTTGGTTGGTCTAGGACAAAAGTGGCCCTGTCACCTGGGGTCCTCCACCAGGGCCTCAGTCTTGGACCAGCTCCCATCCCCCAGACTCAGGGAGAGGCCTGGGTGTAGCACTGGGCCTGGGAGGGGTGCTGCCAGGGCCGGGCACAGCCTGCTCCAATCCCAAACACCTCAGGGAGGCAATGCAGGGTCAGCTGCTGGAAGGTGCTAGAAGGTCACTACACTAGGCAGGAGAACTTAGTCACATTGGAAACTGCTCTGGACTTCCTTTCGTGTTTATCAGTTAGCGTCACAGAGGGGCTTGTCCATAATAAAAAATACTGTCCCCCCAGGGTTTCAAGGAGCCCGGGAAGATGCTCGATCCAACAGCAGGGGCTTCTCGAGACCGAGCTGCCCTCCAGCCGGGCTACCTGGCCTGGCCCTGCACAGAGCCCTTGGGTCAGGCTGGCCACGCACACTTCCAAGGAGATCTTTGGGCGATGTAGAGAAGCTAAAGATTAACCTGTCTGGGGCGGTTAGGCAATTTCTACTGCTGCAGCCAGATCCCAGCTGAGTTCCTGGACAAACCAGAGGCCAACTCTAGGCAGTGAGAACCTGGGCTGTGGTGGCCCCTGGGTGGTGGTGGTGGCGGGAGGTCCTTCCTGTGACTGCCGGGGTTGGAGGGTGGAGGACATTACTCCACAGGGCACCTCATGCTCATGGGTGTTTCTACACTGGGAACCCTGAGGTCCGGAGAGCTGCCCACTCGTCTGGGTCACATGTTGTATGTCCAGGTCTGCTTCCACAATGGTGTGCTCCTGGAGGTCCAAAAGAACAGACTGGGTTTTAGTTCTGGCTGGCCTGGCTACTTGCAAGCTGTGTGACCTTTGTGACCTCTGAGCCCCTGACTCTTTACCTACAAAACACGGTCAGTCTACCTCAGAGGCTACTAGAAGGGCCACACATGCACAAAAGGGTCAGCAGCTGTGGGAGCAGGAATCCTGGTCTGGCCTGCATAGAACAAAACCACGCTGTCCTCACAGCCCACAGGTCCTCACCTGCTCAAGTCATTGGGATGCTGGACAGACAGGAGGCCTTCTCAAGAGCCTAGGCCTGGGGAATTAGCTGAGACCAGGGGTTTCTGGAGAGTTCTGAGGCCCAAGGCTAGGGAAACAGGCCCCAGCCGTCTGCTCTGGCAGGGCAGGTCTGCACCACCAGTGCCCCCCTCCACATCCCCAACCTGTCTCCAGCTGGGTGGGGCTGGATGGACGTGGGCCTTCCTGGAAGTGGGAGCCTGGAGGCACACAGCCTGCCTGTGGGGCCCTCTGCAGTCTTGCGTTCACCAGCCAGCAGGCCCTGAGGTCACCCCTTCGTCTGTGGGAAGTTGGCAAGGGCCAAATTCAACAGCCAGATAAGAGGCCAAGTATCAATATTCACTGGGGGCCAGGGGGAGGGCCTGTGACATAATGAGTTATAAGAAATACATATTTGCTCATAATGACCAAATATGTACTTCCCAGTATAATTGGTCTTCATCCAGTTCCTGAAAACACTGCAGTCTTAAAGGTGAATTGGGTGTTTTGTCATGTTATTAAGAGACTTTTGGACCCCACCCCAGAGCGGGGGTTGGAGGCTGGATCAGCCAATGGCCAATAATTTAATCAATCATTACTATGCAGTGAAGCCCTTACAACAACCTGAGAAGAGCTCACCGCTCTGGGCTCGGTTGGATCCTGCTCCTCAGGCGGGGAGAGCTTCTACACTTGTGGAACGAGGACGCCAGGCCCCAAGCTCCACAGGACAGAAGCTCCTTTAGTTGGGACCCTGCCCTGTGTCTCTCTTCCTCCGGCCGTTAACTTGTATCCTTTACTAAACTGGTGTGGTTCTCCTGAGTTCTGTGAGCCGCTCTAGCAAATTAATTGAACCTAAGGGGGAGGTCATGGGAACCCCCACTCTGCAGCCAGTAGGTCAGAAGCGCAGGGAACTGCCTGGGGCTTATGACTGGAGTCTGGAGTTGGGGCTGGAGGGCAGTCTTGTAGGACGGAGCCCTTAACCTGAGGAA